ATATCGGCAACTTTTTGTTCATTTCCTGATATCTCAAGTAATAATAATTATTTTCTTTGTCTTGCAGGGTTTGGAAACAGTTCACCGCAGAAGCTCCGTGACTGCCGAAGGAGCTGCGATATACATACCCGAAAGTAAGTACTACTGGCTAGATAGTTGCGTGCATCTCTCGTTGATTCTATAGCTATACTTTCATCAATGCCATTTATAATGCTTCATTATCAGTTTGATTGACCTCTATTTCTCGTAAAGTGCTTGTGGCAGGAGGAAGGGAATGATTTCTGTGGATACTACGTGTGCGAGTTCATCCACACCGCGACTTTGAAAAACAAGCGGGGCTACTCTAGAAGATAATATGAAGTGCGTAAGCAATTAATAATATTCACAATTTCATTTTATTACACCATTATTTCTGTTGAGTTTCATTCATATATATATGTATTAATTAACCCCCCTTCTTCAAATTAGACGTGGCAGATGCGGGATGAACTCCTAGAACCAGATCGCATGAAAGCAATTCAAGAGGAATTGGCGGGATTCTTTCTTGAACACGTCATCAGTAAAGCCGGAGAATACCATGTGGAAATTGATTTCAAATGCTAGGGGTTTGTAATTAAGAGATCTTATACATATTGTGCATGTATGTAGCCAGTAGCGTCGGATACATGATACGAAAACTTGTTGTTCGACCAATCTCTCGGAGAAGGAGAGGTCGATCGATCACTTCTCTCGGTATGCATGACGAACTTCTGTACTGAATGGTTCTCTCGATCACTTATGTATATATAGTTCGTAGCGTCGACCAAGCACGGACATAAGAGAGGACACTTCTCTCTATTAATTAGCTAGCCAACACAATATATGAAACACCTAAATTAATCCCCCAAAACCCCCAACCCCCCTCCTTTCAAAAAAACAAAACCCCCAGCCACTGGAATGCAGACGCGTGGATGCTTTTTGTTCCCGGTTGGAGCCACCAACCGGGACCAAAGGCCCCCTGACTGGGCTCGGCGCACAGGGCCACGTGGAGGCACATTGGTCCCGGTTCGTGTTTGAACTGGGACTAATGGGTGGAGGTATTAGTAACGACCCATTAGTCCTGGTTCATGAACCGGGAAGAAAGGCCCTTACGAACCGGGACTAATAGGTGTTTTTCTACTAGTGTGGTAGGACCTTGATACTACTTTGGATGCATGCCATCTTTTTTTTCATACGTTGCTGGTCCTTCCGTGCCTCCGGTGTATCTTTTGTCTTCCCATACACGCCCAATAAGCCTAACAGGTTCACACAAAGATTCTTTTTCACGTGCATCACGTTGATTGCAGAGCGGGCCTCTAGGACTTTCCAGTGGGGTAGGTCCCAAAATATAGATTTCTTCTTCCACACGGGTGCGTGTCCGTCAGCGTCATTCAGAACAGATTGTCCCAGGACCCTTTCCAAAGATTACTTTTAGATCCTTGACCATATCAAGTATATGATCACCGGTATGGCGGCCAAGCTTCTTCCGGTGATCTGCCTCACCTTTGAAATGCTTGCCTTTCGATCTTAAGAGATGCCTGATCGGACGAAATCAACGATGTCCCATGTACACATTCTTCTTACATTTATCCAAATATATACTTTGAGTCTTATCTAAACAGTGCGTGCATGCATTGTACCCTTGTTTGTCTGTCCTAAAAGGTTACTAAGAGCAGGCCAATCATTGATGGTTACAAACAGCAACGCTCGTAGGTCAAATTCATGCTGTTTGTACTCATCCCATACACGTACACCTTTTATATCCCACAACTGTAAAAGTTCTTCAACTAATGGCCTTAGGTACACATCAATGCCATTGTCGGGTTGCTTAGGGCCTTGGATGAGCACTAGCATCCTAATGAACTTCCCCTTCATGCACAACCAAGGAGGAAGGTTATAGATACATAGAGTCACATGCCAGGTGCTATGATTGCTGCTCTGCTCCCCAAAAGGATTAATGCCATCCGCACTTATACCAAACCCGTCATCTACAAACTCCGACCACTTTCTCTTGATTTTTCTCCACTGCGACCGATCAGAGGGTACTCTCAACATCCCATCTTTCTTACGGTCTTGTTTGTGCCATCGCAACAACTTGACATTCTCTTTGTTTTGGAACAAACGTTTCAACCACGGTATTACAGGAGCATACCACATCACCTTGGAAGAAACCCTCTTTCTAGGGCGCTCGCCCTCAACATCACCAGGGTCATCGTGACTGATCTTATAGCGTAATGCACCGCATACCGGGCATGCATTCAAATTCTCGTACTCGCCGCGGTAGAGGATGCAGTCATTAGGGCATGCATGTATCTTCTTCACCTCTAATCCTAGAGGGGAAACAACCTTCTTTGCTTCGTACGTACTATCGGGCAATTTGTTGTCCTTTGGAAGCATCTTCTTTAATATTTTCAGCAACTTTTCAAATTCCTTGTCAGATACACCATTCTTTGCCTTCCATTGCAGCAATTCCAGTGTGGTACCCAGCTTTTTTCTTGTCGTCATCGTAATTTTGGTACAACAATATTTTGTGATCCTCTAACATGCACTGCAACTTCAACTTCTCCTTTTCACTTCCGCATTTTCTCTTTGCATCGGTAATGGCCCGACCAAGATCATTAGCGGGATCATCTGATGCCTCTTCTTCAACTTCTTCCCTCATTGTAGTACCATCGTATTCAGGAAACTAGGATAGTTGTCATCATCCTCTTCTTCTTCATTGTATTCCATTATAACCACTCTTTCTCCGTGCTTGGTCCATCAATTATAGCCGGGCATGAAACCGGACTAAAACAGGTGGTTGTGAAGGACTTTTGAGGTAGAGCAATTCCTATCATTCTTACAGACACCAGATGGACAACGCATAAAACATTTCCTCTTGTTTGCCTCAGCCGCACGCAAAAAAAATATGCACACCATTAATGAACTGGGAGAGCGTCGGTCATCGTACATCCATTGTTGGCTCATCTTCCTTACACAACATCGAAAAGACCAAATTAATACAAGTTCATACACACTTACTCTCATAAAACAACATACAACTATCTAGCTAAAGCATTTAAATGCAGCAACAAATGCGATCAAGATCACAACTAAGGTAATAATTGATCCAACAACATAATGATACCAAGCCTCTTTATTAACGGCATATTTTCGAATCTTCAAGTGCATTGCATCCATCTTGATCTTGTGATCATCGATGACATCGGCAACACACAACTCTAATTTCATCTTCTCTTCTTCAATTCTTTTCAATTTTTCTTTCAAATATTCATTTTCTTTTTCAACTAAATTTAACTTCTCGACAGGAGGGTTGGTTGCAATTTCCTGTTCACATACCTCCTAGATAAAATATCTAGTCAACTTGATGGCCATAGTTGTCGTAAACACGAAATGCAACAAATAGTTATGAAAGAGAATATACCATATATGAATCATAAAGCGGACGAGGGTCGACGGGGACAGATATCAAAACCATGGCACTATGTATAACAAACAATCATAAAAGTAAAAAAATTATACAAATAACTATCTAAATCATACAAATAAGTTTTTTTTACAAAAAGATAAGAACAAGAGGCTCACCAAGGTGGTGCCGGCGACGGGACGGTGCGGGCGATCGACGGCGGTGAGGACGGGGACGGGAATGCAGTAAGTAATTCGCACCTACACATATGAAAACTAAAAAGTTAATTTGAGCTCAAGTTGCATATAAATCAAATAAACTCTCACATAATTCCTCCCAAACTAAAACCCACAAATCACTATACTTAGAGCATGAAACGAGCTAAACTAGCAATGAGAGATGAAAGGATGAAGTTGCTAACCTTTTAGAACCCTTGAATAGATGAGATGCCTCCAATCTTGACAAATCTTGGCAAAAATGAAGAATGAGCTCGAGCTAGGTGCTGAATGGTGGTAAAACACCAGCTTTCATTCCTCACAACAAGCTACTCCTTTTGCTGCTTTTCTCACTCTTTGCCTGGGCCAATGATAGATTAGTCTCTGGGTCGGTCAAGTGAGAAATTGGCGAGACTAGTTAAGGGAAACAGAGAGGAGAGAAAGGAGAGCTTGTGCTCGGGCTAGACGAAGCATCTATATATAGGGATACCTTTAGTCCCGGTTGGTGATACAACCCGGGACTAAAGGTCCATCTATAGTCTCGGTTGATGATACTAAAGGTGCTCGCACGGGCCCAGCCTGCCGCCGTCCCTTTAGTCCGGATGACTAGAAGTCACATTTGAACCGGGACTAGAGGTGGCCGTGCTCCTGTCCGCTCCCAGCCGTTGAAATCGGGACTCGAGATACCATTAGTCGCAGGCCTAAACTTAGCCAGGACTAATGCTCCGGAACAATGGTAGATTTTCTACTGGTGGTTGTAGCATCTGCCGTTCCCATGCCGCCCCACCACGCCGGCGCGCCGGGGCACGGCGGTCTGTACTACATCACCACCCCGTCCACGACGGCAGCACGGCATGATGCGGCCCATACGGGGCGCACGCAGCTGTACGGTACTTCCGCCTCCGCACGGCGGCCACCGCGCCGTGTTAGTGCGACCCGTGCCACGTCGCCGGCGCTTGGAACCTTTCCTCACACTCATATATCTCTTGTCAATTGCCCAAACCGAGAGAATCCCATGCCATGCATCATCATTAACTCATCACACAGACCCCACCCTTTCTGGTAAACTTCACTTTGCCCTCCATAACTACTGCAGGCTTCAGCTGCCCCGCCTCTCTCTCTCTCAAACAGACAAAGCACTATTCCTCACATATTCCCCAAAACCACTATTTACATTTCTACCCCGGGCCTGTCTTTTTCTCTCTCTATTCCACTCCTTCAAAGTGGACTGTCTATCCTTCTACCACCTTGCAAAAACAAGGAAACTAGAGAGAAAAGGAGAGAGAGCTCCCCAGAAGAGAAGACACACAACACACAAGCTCGGGAAGGAGAGAGAGAGAGAGAGAGCGAGCGCGCGCGCAATGGAGCTCTTCCCTTCCCAGCCGGATCTATCCCTCCAGATCGGTCTCCCCGCGAGTGCACACGGCCACGATCACCACCGGGCCATGGGGGGGAGGTTCTTCGGCCCCTCGAGTAATAGCAACATCGGCGGGAACCCGGCCATGGCTGCGTCGTTGCAGCTTCCGTTTCCCATGCCGCCTATGCCTCTGCCGCCCCACCACGCCGCCGCGCCGTGGCACGGCGGCCTGTATTACCATCACCACCCCGTCCCCGACGGCGGCATGCTGCGGCCCATACGGGGCGTGCCGCTCTACCCGACGCCGTTCCCGCCCCCGCCCCCGCCTCCGCACGGCGGCCCCTCAGCCGCGGCCACCGCGCCGTGTTACTGCGACCCGTGCCACGTCGCCGGAGCTTGGCGCCGCGGCGTCGGTGGGTGTGGTGCGCGCCTCGTCGGCTTCCCGGCGCCGAAGCGCGCAGCACGCGCGCCTCGCATGCGGTGGACGTCCTCGCTCCACTCCCGCTTTGTCCACGCCGTGGAGCTTCTCGGCGGCCACGAGAGTACGTACTCGGTACCTTGCCTACCCCTCTCGATCGCCATTGGCCAAACGACTTCTTGTGGAAGAAAAAAGGTCGCTTTTGCCTAATCTTGTTGTGGCGATGTAAAATTGCAGGGGCGACGCCAAAGTCAGTTCTTGAACTCATGGATGTGAAGGATCTCACCCTAGCTCATGTGAAATCTCACTTGCAGGTAACCCATGTTCATAAACCTTACCACTCACGCATTAAACACTTATTAAAGCCCCTTTAACTAGTTAGCTACTAGTAGCTCGTTCACTAAGTTTGGTTGAACTGCTAATCCCCTTGAGTGAGACTAAGATGAGAGATGGAAACAGATGCATGGACATGGATCTGTGCATCTCTCCTGGGTCTCTCTCCTCTCCTGTGCCTGCTTTGCCGTAGCAGTGCTAGTTACTACCATACACTGCTCAATGCTGTACCAGCCCACATGCATGCAACCGATCAAAGTGAAAGGAAGAAATAAAGGCAGAGAGAGAGAGAGACAGATGTGGTTAAGCAGCAACAGTGGCACCCCTGTCTTGTTCTGCATCTCTTGTAATATCTTGGAAACTTCTCCTCCTTTGCACAGCTAGGTCAAGTCCTCCATGCTGTGGGCGTGGGGTTTCACATCCATAGCATATGGCATGACACACTAGCTAGCTAACCGGCCTAACCTACTAGCTCTAGCTGGCAGGCACGCACATCACATACATGATCAACTGTACAATGCGAATGTGAAGGTGGGTTCCTTTCATCTCCTCCTTGATTGGTTTTACCAGCCCTCTTAAGCAGTCATGTCAAATCTTGCGGCTAGCTAGACTAGGCCAGCAGGCAGCACAGCAGCCATGATATATCGATCTTTTGCGCAGCTGCAAATCTTAGTATGATTTGCCAACTACTACTATGTGGATTCTTCATGATTTGATCTCTCTGCTCAACTAGTAAATGCTAAGTTAGACTTTTCGAGATAATGATAAAGTTAGATGCTAAATTACATGAGTATCTTTTCTTTTCCTTTGTTGCTGCAGATGTACAGGACTGTGAAGAATACCGAAAGGCCGGCAGCTTCGTCAGGTGAATAGTACATGCATGTCCATAATGTGTGATTGATGCTAGTAATGGTTTTATTTGCTCCCTTTCGAATATATAGATGCCAACTTAAACCTGCTCCAGCCTTCCATTTTATTCCATTCTTGATGTGTGTTCCATGTTAAGCAGATCAGGTTGATGGCTTCGAGAACGGGTCGGCTGGCGAGATCTGCGACGACAACTTGCTTGACCTGCGAGGCGGCGGTAGGCCGGAGGCAGTGGCAGCGGCCACACGGAATGGAAGGTTAGCTGCAAACGACGATGACAGGAGCATCGGCGCCGGTGCCACTCATGGTGGTGCCGTGTGGAATAGCTCCTCAAGGTAGGCATCACACAATCACATTATATATAGCTTAATTAATTGTCTGAGGAGCCTGTGTTGATAATTTTTATGTAGTAGTAATCCCTAGTAGTAGTAGTTCTTATAACACTATCAGCAGGAGAACTAGTTCTCACATTATGTGCCTGCTCCATATGTAAAAACTACTACTAGTAACAATTGGCTTAAGTAAAATTCGTGGATTAAGCGAGCTAGCCTTTCAATTGATGTCACCTCACACTGTCATGTGCTCTCGACTTAGGAGGGCTTTGCTATACTTTAGGTTGGCCAGTAAAAAAATGCCTCTTTTACCCGCATGCTCATCCCGGCTGTTTTTGTAAACCCTGCATTAAAATCCGTTCCAAGTAAATGTGATATCCAGGACGAATTGGGAGTACTGATTTGTACATTGCGGCCTAATGTTTTGGAACAGCCGTTTGGTCTGTCCTTTTTACGCGCCCGGCATGCTGAATGCTGTACTAACTCTGATGGTTTCATATTTAATGGAACAGGGGGCCAACGCCTTTTGTTAATATCATCATAAAGTACCGTAGCTACTCTCATGGAGACAAGCAATGGTTTTGCCATGGATCTCCTAGTCCCAGACAAATAAATGCTTCAATTATGACCTCATTGTGCACCCATGTCTGCATGGTGTTAGTCCAGTTCCAATGCATTGGTGCTTACATGAGGTGATAAGCACATTAAAAACTTTAGCAACTAAAGCCCTCAATGCATAGGTGCTTAACTTGTTGGTGCTAAGCATCCATTTAATGATTGGGATCCTTCCAATTTAAGTGTTTTGCCTAGGTTCTTGCGCTTGGCATTGTTTCTTCCTGGGGTCACCACACTCATCTCTCTCCTCTTAATTACCTTGCCACATCATACTTTTTGCTTACATGGCAGCCTTAGCACCTGTATAAGGTGGAGCATTGGGAGGGGCCTTACAAAGGCGTTGTTTGTTGGCAGAACAACTTGTATTGACTTGTCCCCACATTTTTCTTGTCATATTTCTGGGAAATGTAGTACTAACTTGAGTTGCACTTGTTGGTGCGGGATATATGTGCAGGGAGGAGGATTGGTCAGGCTTTCCTTGCGATTCCAACAACGAAAGCATGCAATCTTTCAAGGTAAATCAGCTAATTAACCTGTTTCCGTTAGCATAAACAGCAACAAATAGTGTGCACGCGTCAAAGTTCAAACAGATGGGAAATTAATTGTTAACGTGGATGCAGGATCATATGCAGTCCAAGAGCCTAGAAATCCTATCAGACATGAACTCCTGCCTGTCAGAGACGACGTCCAGCGCAAGCGCGCCGAACCTTGACTTCACCCTAGGGCGGCCGCACCAACGCCGGAGCTGAAGAGCTGTCGGCGTCAACTGTAGCCTGATCGATCCATCGCCGTCGGCAAGAATTCAGCGTTGCTATACACACGACACATTTGTGCCCGACGGCTGCACGATCTAACGTGGCAGCACCAGCAGCAAGCATGCACGCTTCAGGCAATTATTTTTTTCAAAGCTGCTGCCTTAGCGCTGTTGAGAAGGAAACTGTCGTCTGTAGATCGTGCAGTTCGTATCGTGCATGAAGCAATTTCGAAACTAGAGTTACTTTAGTTAATTTATCATTAGGATGGCCCCAATACCATCTTTGGCTGTTGAAAGGTGGGTGTCGGACAGCAGGGGAAAGGAGGAGCTAAAGATAGGTAGGGGTACCTAGGTCGATCTCCAATGAAAAGCAAGCGTTTTCTAGTGGAAATGTGTCTCATGTTTAGGGCAATCAAAAGGGCTCTTCTTCTTCTTTCTGTAGTGGTAAAATTGAGCTGTACTAGTAGCCAGACAGTTAGGGAAGAAACGAATTAAAGGGTGTGAATCATGCGTGCTTTCTACCACTGCATCGTGCACATGTCCATGACATGCCATACAGGACCTTTAATTTTTTGCTTGCCTGATACTCCCTCCGTTTCTAAATATAAGTTTTTCTAGAGATTTCACTATAGACTGCATACGAATATATGTAGATGCATTTTAGAGTATAGACTCACTCATTTTGCTTCGTATGTAGTTCATAGTGGAATCTCTACAAATACTTATATTTAGGAACGGAGGGAGTAGTACTGTGGCTTTTGTAGCTATTCATGGTAGTGATGAAAGAAGAGGCAAGATATGTTGATCGATATGATATGCATGGTACTACTGCGGGTTATGCATCCAACAATACTGTGCACGTAGTCTATGGAAATGTTCAGCTACGTACGTACGTGCATGTGTGTCCATGCAGTTAGTTTCACTTTTTTTGTCTTCCAGAATTTAGCAAGCAGGTGCATCTCCATCTCCAACCTTCTCCATCTCGCAGTTTTTTTGTCCAGCAACACGCTCTCCTCGCAGGTGAAGCAAAGCTCCCCCCGCGTCGCCCCCGCTCGGGCGACTCGGGCGGGGTCGCAACCCTAGCCGCCGGGGGCTCCCCGTCCTTCCATCCCTCCCTCCGCCGCCGCCGAAGGACGCCGCCGGCCTAGCCCGGGGTTGACTGTGGTGGCGGGGGCCTTCCCTCTCTCCTGCGCCATGGGGGCGGTGCGGAGCCCCGCGACATGTGGTAGCACAGCCGATCTGGCCTTGGCGGCGTGGCGGGCCTTGGCCTAGGGCGGCAATGGTGGCGGGTGCGAAGGCCGGCCCTGCTTCGGGCAGTGGCCTTGGCTGCGTTCGGCGGCGGAGGCCGGGTCTGTGGCGATGGACCATCGGACCTCAGATCCTCGGTGGCGGCATGGAGGGCCTGGTGGTTGGGTTGGCGCCATGCGTGGTTTGCCCTCCGGACAGATCTGATCTGGCCGACGCGGCCTGCTCGATGCGCGGCGGCTCAGATCGGCGGCGACCCGTGCAGACGATGCTTGATGGAGGTTCTTCGAACGGATTCGGGTGAAAACCTCGTTCTCGGCTTGATGTCAAGACCGGCGATGGTGGAACTCTTTTATGTCGTTACCTTCTTGAAGGCATCACTGTGGAGAAGCTCCAGACCTCTATCCGCTACCTCCGGGGGAAACCCTAGATAGTAGGTCGGATGACGGCGGCACGTTGGTGTCGTTTCCTCATTGGGAGCGTCATTCTTGGAGGCGTACACGGGATCGAGGGACCAGTGGGCAGTTTCTTTGGTGGAGCGGTGTTTCATCCTACCCATTGAAGGCGACGGATCTCGCCGGCGTGGCGCAATGGAGACTCGGCGGCCGATGCGGTGATGGACTCGCGCAGGTGGAGGTAGTTGTCTGGCGTCATGATGACATCAATGGCAGAGTGGCCTGACAAGGTAGAAGTCTCAATATCTGCTGTGAAGAAGGACTTGTGAAAATGGCGGCAACGACACATGTGAGTGCGTCAGACCGGTTAGTGCTTCAGACCCGGTATGTGGCTCGGCTGCGGCTTCCTGCTTTTGATGATAGGCTTAGGTGAGTGGTCTAGGTATTTGGCCCAACTAGCACCCCTTCATCATATGGATAGGAGTAGTGGCATTTGTTGCCAGGATGGCAGATTCAGACATATTGTTGTAATACTTTGTAAGGTTCTCAAAAATAATCAATAAAGTGGCCGCATGCATCTCCCAGATGCAGAGGCCGGGGGTCATCCTCCTTTTCTAAAAAAACGCGTTCTCCTCGCGCTCTATTTTTTTTGAGTAACACGCTCTTCTGTGTCAGCACGCCTGACATGTCGGGGTGGGAGAGGGACGCTCACGAGGCGTGATCAAGGCCAACCACAAGGTGGCCGGGCCCAATGAAACCCAACAAGACGCATAGCTACTTATCCCTTCCTCCCGATGAAGAAGCCATCCAGTGGATCAACAGACGGCAGCGGTTGCGAACCCTATTCCCCTTTCTCCTTTTTGTTCGTCCAATTCTTGTACGCATGAGTTGTAATCGAGATCATATCGTGATCGAAAGAGAGAGGTTAGATCCAACCCTACTTCTTCCCTATCACCTGGTATCAAAGACCACTCCACCTCCCTTCTGTGCAACACTCTCACTCAATTCATTGAGACGTGCCGTTTGCGGCAAGAGCGATCTGATTGGCAGCCATGAATCCTTCGATCCAAGCTTCCTCAACCGCCTGGACTCCACCCTGATGGCCCACTCCACGTCGATCGTGGTGATCCAAGCCTCGACTGCCAAGATTGACGAACTTGCCGCTTGGCGTCTAGATCTGGAGAAGCACGTCGCGAATCTCGGCGCGGCTGTCTCCGCGCTGCAGCTAGCACAACATCCATCGTCATTAGCTCCTACAGTGGCGCTCCCGGTGGGTAAGGGAACTTCTCCAACCCCGGCGATGCTTGGCAATCCAATGGGACCCGAGGCAGGCGCGGGTGGGACGATCCACAAGTCTGTGGACCAGGTGTCTTTGTTATCGCGCGAGGGTTATCGTTAGCGTCATTTCAGACGCCGCCGCCACTCCCGGCCAACAGTCAGTCCAAGATTCCCTCCCTTGCTTCTCTCCGCACACCATTTGCGCATGCGAGCCAGCTGCTAGCGGGTTTGGGGCAAGCACATTCGTCCATCGCATTTCCTTGGTTTTCGAGGAGAACCCCAACCTGTGGAAAACATTATGTGAATAGTATTTTAAGATGTTTGGCATCGACTGCACATTTTGGGTGCCAATGGCTGCCCTCAGTTTCTTTGGATCTGCCTAGATTTGTCTTCTATCGACCTAAAAGAAAGTCTCAGGCTATGATTTGATTCATTTGCGGCCCTAGTCTGCACAGGTTTTGGCCGTGATCGACACAATATGTTGATCAGACAGTTTACACTGTGTGACAGTCATCCACTCTAGATGATTATATAGAAAATTTTGAGTTGACCATACACTACTAGGGAAAAGCCTAGTAGTAGCGCGGGTTAAATATATAGTAGTAGCGCGGGCTACTACTAGCTCACTACAGCTACTACTACGTGTGTTAGTAGTAGTGCGGGTGCCACCCACAGTACTACTAATTATTTGTAGTGCGTGTCTGTGACCTGTGCTTCTACTATTAATTTCAAAAACAAAAAAAATTCTCGATTCCATGCGTGTTGTCAAAGGTGGCAATGGTTCGATCCAACGACAACAGGGGTTGCCAAAGGTGGGATGGCAGCGGCAAACCAAATTCAGCAGCGGCTCCTGGAGAGGACCGGATCCAGGGCAAAGCAAGGCAGGGTTGTGGGCTCCTCTTCGCGGCCAAGGCAAGACCTCCTGGTCGTCCATGGCGAAGACATGCACGGGGATGGACATGTGAGGGTGAGTCAAACCACAGGGGAGAGGGAAAAAGACAAACAAGGGAGATAGTAAGGAGATGGAGGGAGCACCGGGGCTAGTCGTCGGTGGCGAGGTGCTCTGCTGTGGTGGCATGGAGGCGCGTTGGAAGACCGGCGAGCTCTTGGACACTAGCGGCGCGAGGCGGTCGCCTCATTGGGTGCCATGGAGGAGGCGGGCATGGGCAGGAGCGCCATGGGTTGTAAAGTATTATAAATAATGGCAGATGAGCTATATGTTGTTTTCCTTAGATTTGATAACGACTTGTGGGCCTACTAGGTTAACGTGTACACTTTCTTAAAATAAATAGGTTGACGTGTATGCAAGGACGTGTCAACTTAGTCAACATACGGGAGCAGTGACTATTGGATGTCCATCCAACGACCGTCGTGGTTCTTCAATCTCTGATCTTCCTGTTCCAGCCGCCCGAACCAGCGTCGGTGGGACTGCCTGCTCCCTCCCTCGTGGCCGGTTGTGCTGCCGCTAAGGCCTCACTAGCCAACCCTACCCCCACCGATGGCTAGGCCATCCCTCTACCCACCCGCACCTTCTGTTATTTCCGACGACGGCAGCCTCATCCCGTAGCCGAACCTGTCATCCCACGTACTCCCCTCAGCATGGGCATCCGCTGCCGTGGCTTCGCCGACTCCGGGTCATTCCCTTCCCGAGCCTCGCCGTCGTCCACATCGTTGATGTTGTCAGCGCGACGTGGTCAACATGGTCAACAAATGACATCCATCGGAAGAGGGATGTAAGTGGAGAGGCTGACTATAGGGGCCCACATGTTCCATGGCCGCACGCAAGCTAGTGCCTCCTTATTATGCAAACAAAAAGGATTGCTCCTCCTGACAACTGGGACCCACCAGCTACATCTTCCCACACAAGGAAGTGCCTCCTTATTATACGGGAAAAAAGTCTCATCCACCTGACAGTTGAGACCCACCAGCTACATCTTCGCATGCAAGGAAGTGCCTCCTTATTATGTGCAAGAAAAATGATTCCTCCCGGCTAGCTGGGACCCACCGGATTTGGTGGCTGACTTGTGGACCTACTAAGTTGACGCGTACGGAGGCTCTATCAGCTCAGTCAACAAAC